CCCCCAGCAGACCAGGGAGATGCGGAGCAGCTTTTCTCAGCAGACACCTCAGTTTGAGAATAATACCCTGAGGGAAGTGAGGTGTGGGAGAATAAAACTGAGCTCTGGAGAAATGTTTGGCTAGAGTTTCCCCTACAATATGTACCAGTTCCGACTTACATACAAATTCAACTTAAGAACAAACCTACAGTCCCTATCTTGTACGTAACCCGGGGACTGCCTGTACATGCAATGAAATGCACTATACTTCTCATATCTTTCATTTGAGACACATCATGAAATTTACCCTGAATTAAATATATGCCCGCTGCCGCCTCCCAGCCGGCTTTCCCTGGCCCCTCTGCACACAAGGCGCCTGACCCCACCAACGCTGCCCCGTGGCGCAGCCCCCAGGTTGGGGTCTAGCTGTATCCCGCTTGGGCTTCAGCCTCTGTCGGCAGCCCTGATGTCTCCCAGCATCACCCAGCAGATCCACAGGCAGCAGCAGGACTGCTGGGCAACAGCCCCTCTCCTGGGTTCCTTGCCCCATCTCCAGGCAGCCCCGTGGTAAGGCTCCCAATCCCGGGGGGCAGCCTCTCTGCCTTCTAATCCCACCGGGCAGCTGCACCACTTGGCAGTAGTGGGGCTACCAGGCTCCTGGTTGTGCTGTTAGGCAGTCTCACTGCTTCCTGGTCTTGCCAGGCAGTTTTGCTGCTGGATTCCAGCCCCACTTCCACCCCCACAAGGGAGGGGGAACGGGAGCTGGAGCTGGGGGAACCCATGCGGGGACAGGGCTGGCTTCAGCATACAGGAGCTGCTGGACTCAGTGGGAGTCGGGACCAAGCAGTCCCTGATGGGGTCTTACCACATTTAAAATGCAGAGCCACAGTGTAGGTGACTCCTGGAGCTATCCCCGTTGGGGCTCTGCATAGCAGTCCTTATTGACTAGTTGTGTGGTCAGTACAAATTGTATCGACTACATGATTAGCTAGATAACCATAATTTAACATCCTTAATGCTAATATTGTTTGGTTATCTGTTAATAGATCAGAAAAAAGGAAAACACGCTGTCCACTTGAAATGTTTCACCACAGCTGGGAGGTATCAGGATTCTGTCGTATCTGTTTTGTATGTGGGGGCTCTGACAATTGAGAGGAACAGAACACTTCTGGCACTCATCCAAATGATGTGGGTCAATAGTTGCAGAACTAGTAGCTTAAGGACTCAATGGACACTGTAGTGTCCAACAGTCTGTACTATCAGGCCACGATAAGTCCTGATACTTATAAACCTATACATGTACTGAACTTTAAGTGTAAGAGTAGTCCCACTGAATTCAGTAGGCATGCTTATATGCAGGGCTCGACAAATAATACAATCTACTTGCCCGTGGTGAGTAGATTGGAACGTGGAGGAGCCGCTGGCGAGCAGGGCTCGCCATGGTTCAGCGAGCCCTGCTTATATGCCTAAAATTAAGCGCATACACACACAAATCTTTGCAAGTCGAGGGCTGAATTAAGTGTCTTAGCTAGGTCTACACTGCAATTAAAACCCTGCACCTGGCCTACACCAGCTGACTCAAGCTCATGGGGCTCAGGCTAAGGGTTGTTTAACTGTAATGTAGACATCTGAGCTTGGGCTAGGTGGGTCTAGGATTCTGGGGCTCCTATCTGAGCCTCATCTACACTGCAGCCCGAGCCTCAACATCTACAGTCCACCAACCTGAGTCAGCTGGCAAAGGCCAGCCCTGGCTGTCTATCTGCAGTGCAGATGTATTTTAAATATGGACTAATTTAATGGTAGAACCCTAATTGGCACAACTTCTGCCAGTCACACAGTCATCTGAGACATGTTCTGCTACAGATATTAAGTAACTTTACAAAAAAAAACCTTAATAATTATACAAATACATTTTTAATGTTATATTCATGTGATATCATATTGACAAGTTTCAGCGGGATAGCCGTGTTAGTATGTTTCATTAAAAACGAGAACACCTGCAGAATCTTAACGAATCTTATGTTCTTATGACTAAGAAATTTATTTGGGCATAAGCTTTTGTGGGCTGGAGCTCATCAGATACATCAACAAAGTGGACTGAGAAAGTGGGTTCCATCCCACTAACGCTTATGCCCAAATAAATATGCTAATCTTTAGGGTGTCACAGGACTCCTTGTGTTTTCATATGTAACTTAGCAAAATTAAACATGAGGTAAACTGTATATACTGAGCACTTAAACACTACTATGCCTTTAATTTTGTTCCCATCTTTATTTTAGGAAACCTCTGTTATGTATTGCACAGCCACAATCTTTTAAGTTCAGTCATTAAAATATCATGTAGGTTTCAGACGTATTTTATTTCACATTAGACATGAAAACTTTTGTGCAAAATGGGGATAGGCCCCAAGGAAAGAACTTTCTTCCTGTTTGCTCATGAACTACTTTCAAGAACTCCTTTAGTTAAAAAAGAGACCAAAAATAAGAACTTTAAACAACATTTTCATCTTTAAATACATTCACTATAATAAAGGAAGTGAAAAATAAATATAAAACTTACTGGTTCAACAAATTCAAATTTCTTTTTCTCCTGTACTTCCTGAATTTTAAACACATATTCCAATGATGCTTCATAAAAGTTTTGATGCTCTCTGTCAATCTGCGTATCTGCCTAAAAATAAAAATGAAGGGTATAAAATAAATATCAATTTATGGTTATGTTTGGTTCAATTAGAGTTTCCATCATCATTTATTTAAGAGTCCCTCAGATTTCAGTTTCCTATTTTATTTCCTGGTCCTATATACACTGTCCCTCCTTTTGACAGTGAAGGATTGGGATATTTGCAGCAGCTAGAGGAGGGTGCTAAAAATGATGAAATGCCCTCTATCAGGTGTTACAGTAAAATGTTTCTACAATGTTCTCAGAGCAGGGACCTGTGTCCCAAGAGATCGCTAGACAAGCCAATGTTTCTCTTTCTTGAACAACCAACTTTTCCATGAGAGCAGTGTGAAATGTATTCAGGGACCTTTTATTTGCCAACGTTTTTTAACTACTGAGCCATTTGAAAGTGAACTAAGATGAAAGGTGATACACAGTGCAATTCACCAGTCCAGATATTAGCCCACCAAATACCATGTGTCCTGGCACAAGTTCAAGGAACACAAAAGGATGATGACAAGCAACCAAGGACCAATTCTGCAAGACTTAAAGCAATGAACATTATTTTTTTGGGCATGTAGAAGTGTTTTTAGCTGCCATAGAAACACAAGTAGAGACAGTCCTCATTATTTTGCTGTCTAAATATGTGACAAGACAGAACTGGCCAGTGTCTTAAGCAGACAAACAGAAAGTGAAGGGGAGAAAGAGAACAGGACATCAATAAGATCAGATGGTTCCTAAGTAAGGCAGGGACATATGGTGCCTAAACCAAACCTGCATGCCTAAAGTAAGGCAGCTATGTAAATGGCTTCCCACCCAGAGCTGCTGGGCATTCATTAAGGTCAGTGGGAGTTGTGTGTACTCAGAACTTCTGAAAAGTACCTTAAGTTACTAAATACAGATTTAGGACCCTAAGTTTTTAGACATCCAAGCTTAAAATAATTGGGCCTTAGCGTTCCCCCTAAACATGCTCCTCTTTCTTTTTCTCTCCTTCCCTGGGTTTATTCTATGTGAGTTTTAGCGGAGCCTAGCATAAGGCAAGGAGAAGTGGCTTGGGGGAAGGTGCACCACAACTTTGGAACAGCATGGGAAAAGGTGCAAAGGATGGAGTGGGACAAGAGAACAACAAGGGGCTTTAATAGCTGATATGCCGTGTTAAGGATTCCCTTGAATATTATCATGCATGATCATCTGTTCATGATTTCCACCATGAGTAGTTTCAAATGCCCTTTCCACAGCTTTATATATCAGAGAGAGAGAGAGAGAGAGAGAGAGAGAGAGAGATTTGTAAACACAGAAATTTTGCAGCTTATCATTTCATAACATGGTCAAGCAATCTGAGATTATACAAATATTATATAGTTTTTACATTTGCACAATAGCTAATCTTCATGTTTTAGTTTTCCCAATGTTTTACTGAAAGCACAATATGCAGTGCTTCCTGGAAATTTGTTGAGTAATGGGTTATGAGCAGGGACTGAACCTGGAAGCTTCAGCACCAAAGTAAAAGCTCCTGGCACTAGAAATGAAGAATTTACTTCCCCTATTTATACAATTAGTAACTACACTAATTGATGAGAGTAGTAGGCTCTTCTCCTCCATTTAACTCATTTTTTTCAGTTATCTTTCCTCAGAGAAGAAGTTCCTTCTGGAATTATGTCTGGTCCTAGCTCTAAGGGATTTTTTTTAAATTGTGGAAACTTTCAGTTACATCAATTCAGTCATTTCTGATTTACGTGAGTATAAAAATAATACATTTTTTCTAATGTTCTGATTAAATTTTGAGACTCAAATAACAAACATATGCGAAGCTAAAAATTGGAGATGGCTTGTTTTATAGCTTCCATCAATCCATAGAAAGAATATTCATTTTTAAAGAAAACAAGCTTAATTTTTTTAAATCATGTATCTATATAATCTGTATTTGCCATCAGTTAAAGATTCTGCCTATTAATGGCACCTCTAATTAATACTGCTTCAGTTAAGAGTGTGAATATAATCATTTAGTAGCATGGAAACATTTAACACTGAACCACTTCTACAGTACTCCAGTAGCACTTTAAAGCACAAATATTAGCTTTAGCCATATCTTTAAAGTGAATCAGTAGCACTTGTTCCTTTTTAGGTCTACAAAAAGCAAAACAGGAAATTAAATGCAAAAGCTAACGTTAAGGATAGGAAATCAAGCACCCAAAAGCCTTGAAATTCCAAAAATTAAGACTTCTACCACAAAGTTAACTTGTCCATGTGGCATTTTTGTTGTATTTTGTATTACTAGTTTCCTTGATGAATCTAAAACTTAGTGTATAGCGATGTTATAAAAAGTATATATGATAGGATATATAGGGTGTGCAATTTGGCAGAATTTAACAAAGTTTTACAACTTTAGGGTACAATCCTGCAAACCTTTATCCACTGGAATGCAGACAATGAAATTTGCATAATACGGGCTTCATTTTTTTTAAACAATAAGCTCTTTCAGGACTCAGTTCAGGAAAGCACTTTAACCACATGCTTAAACCATCCCCATACTGCAAAGCACTTAAGTGTGTTTAATTTAATGGGTCTCAAGAATGTAAAGCCCAAAATTTTGGTCACAATGATCATTTGGGTACAGGGATCAAATCATACTTTCCAAGAGCCATCTTCTGTGAATACTGTTGAGTTTACTTGATCAATGAGCATTCACAGTTGTAAGAATCAATTCAGAAGTGGTTTATTTAGACTTTTTCAAGGCAGGGAGGATTTTCACACCTTTTTATAAACTGCTCAGCTGTTGGTAAAGAATGGCTTAGTATACAATTAAATATAGCAGCAGCTTTTATGATAGACAGTCAGAGTCAGTATTATTTTGACTGACTGGCAGTAGCACTAGAATGCGCATCAGAACATGAGCTGTTGTTACAAGGTGGACATATCTCCGTAAATGAGCATGATTCTGAAAGCTCAAATTCATAGATCTGCATTTAGTGATGTGTATGGGGCTTCCAAAATTGACCCTTGATACAAAATTGTCCCCCACTACAATTAGGTCCTGTCTTGCAGAGTCTGCCTGCCCACACCTGGTGCACTTGGCCCTTATGGTCAGGGCCCTAGGGTGTTTCTGGAGCAGGCAAAGTCCTTGTGATGTGTCAGGGTTGGGGTGCAGTCAGTCTCACTACTGAGTTCACAGCCCAGCAGAGGGGGAGCTACACAGTGATCTTCCACCTCTGTGCAGCCAGTGGTCTGTGCTCCCCGAAGCCATGCAGGAGCCTCTGCATTTATGTAACAAATATAATTTTCAGAATTTGAAAATATTATATACAGAATTTCTGGCGTCTTTTGGCACAGAATTCCCTCAGGAGTACAAAATATATGCCCAATATTAAAAATGCACATTTTGAATCTAACTCAGAACTGGAGAAGCTACCTCATTCTTCATGTAACCGAACCAAAATCAGCTTTTATAATTTAAATGCCTAATTCTCCACTGTGCTTCCTCCAGTTTTATGCTGGAGTAACTCCCATTGATTTCAATGCAGTTATATTAACATAAATCTGGAACAATGTAATGGTGAGCTAGGACCCATATGTTCTACAATCATGGCCCTCAGAAAAATAGACTAACTAGCATCTCCTATAAAATTCAAGTATCTAGACATGAAGTGGTCATTTAAGGACAAATGGAAAACTTTTACTGTTATTTTCTATTAGTTTGTATTCTCAAGTCAAATCCTCCATGAGTCTAAGACAGTTTGTTTAATTATATTCACAGTTGATGCATTATATGCAATTTTATTTAGTTTTTAAACTGCAATATAATAAATAGTGAAGCATACCAGCAAAATGTGCTCTATTTAAACCAATCAGTAAATTAGCATTTAACTTGACTTAACCAAATCTTGATCTATAGGTAAATACATCAAGAACTGTTTTCTGACTTTCTGTTTAACCTCTAATGGAACTATTTTCCCATTAAGGCAAGGGGAATTTATGAACCTGTCAGAGTTGTGAACAAGTAAATTTGGCCCGTGAATAGAACAAAAAACTCCTGCAAAATTAACGTTGTTTTCTTTACACTTGATTCATCATACTGACATCTGTTTGGCAAGTACAATATAAAATAATAAATGTTTTGAATTTGCCCTGCTATATCAGGAAAACATAAAAACTGCACTTTGTGACTTTCTGAGAGATAGGTCTTGTGTGTAGAATTTTGTCAGCCAAATACTATCCAAGATTTCAGAAATTATTATTTACAGTAATAATGCTTCTAAAATAGTGCTCGTCTTTTTTGTAAAGTTTCATACAGTGTCAGTAATACTACTGAAAAAACAACTTGTCATTTGCTTCACAGAAAAACAAACTAACAATGCAGCTAAAAAGGGAATCTTTCTACTAAATTATATCTATGTATACTTTTTAAAAGTAAGTAATAGTTACTGTACATACTCTTTAAAATGGACAATTTGGCTACATCTGATGCTATGACCCTGGTAGAAGTCCTAATGAAATCCAATGAGCGCCACATAATAAAATGCATGGTTATATAGAATTGATTCAGATTCCAGGATCAGGCTTAAATCCAGCAGACACTTTTACTATGTATAATTAGCGTTTTGTGATCATAACAGAACAATCCTTTTTTTAAAAAAAAACCACTGTAAGTCAATCAGCACAGGTTACAGCAATTAAACTCTATACACTCTATTTGGAAGTACGGCTAGTTAATAGGAAGTAAAAGTAATGCAAGAAAAAAATGTGTAACTCTGTGTCCAATTATGCAAGCCTCTATGTATGCAACTAGTCTCGATGAGACTCAAGAGTCATTGCCTTGTATCTGTCTAATCATTTAAACTACAGTCAGTCCCCAGGTTACGTAAAAGATAGGGACTGTAGGTTTGTTCTTAAGTTGAATCTGTATGTAAGTCGGAACTGGCATCCAGATTCAGCTGCTGCTGAAACTGACCAGTTTCAACAGTGGCTGAATCTGGACACCAGTTCCGACTTACATACAGATTCAACTTAAGAACAAACCTACAGTCCCTATCTTTTACGTAACCTGGGGACTGACTGTAGTTTAAATGATTAGACAGATACAAGGCAATGACTCTTGAGTCTCATCGAGACTAGTTGCATACATAGAGGCTTTCATAATTGGACACAGAGTTACACATTTTTTTCTTGCATTACTTTTACTTCCTATTAACTAGCCGTACTTCCAAATAGAGTGTATAGAGTTTAATTGCTGTAACCTGTGCTGATTGACTTACAGTGGTTTTTTTTTAAAAAAAGGATTGTTCTGTTATGATCACAAAACGCTAATTATACATAGTAAAAGTGTCTGCTGGATTTAAGCCTCAGCGTCTCCCTGGGCTGCTCTTTCTCCCTGGTCTGCTATTACTGTTCCAGATCAGCTGAAAGCGCCGTGGGTCCGGCCCGGGTCCTCCGCCGCTCTGCTCAGCGTCTCCCTGGTCTACAGACCAGGGAGATGCTGAACAGAGCGGTGGAGCACCCGGCAGGACCCGCGCTGCTTCCAGCTGATCTGGAAGCGGCCGTGGGTCCAGCCCCCAGTGCTCCGCCGCTTTGCTCTCGTCTCCCTGGTCTGCTGGCTCCGCCAGCAGACCAGGGAGACGGGAAGCAGCTTTTCTCGCCCCGGAGAAGGCGGGCGGCGGGACCAGGCGTCCCGCCGCTCCAGTCCTCCGGGGCGAGAAAATCCCCGTTCGTAACTGAGGATCTGACATAAGTCGGATCCGTGTAACTCGGGGACTGCCTGTACTGCAAAATGCTACAGATGTAAAATGCTATCAGATAAAAATGGCACTGTTTACAGGCATTAATGGCTACACTAGGTACAAGGCAATGCAGAATCGGGCCCACTGACTTTTGGTGAAACCGCTGGGGCAAAGGAGTACTACTCACAAAAGTTTGAACCAACCATTATTTGTTTAAACTAAGAATCTCATGAGGTCATAAATTGACTACATTTTGTTAAGACAAACACAAGTTTACTTGAAGATCACATGCACAAAATCTGTCAAAAACTTTTGGCAATCTATTATTTCCTTGCTTTATGGCCACTCATTTCAATTTCATAAAATATAACCATATAGTTACATAATGGAACAAATTTTTCTCTCCGATTAAAGGAGAAAACATGGTATGCTGAAAAGCATAAAAAGCACGATTAAAATGCTTCAGATTCAGTTATCTAGTTATCTTATGCAAAACACCATTAATTAAGCAACAAAAAGTCAGCAGAACCCTGATTATATTAATTCTAAATATTCCACGTACACTTTGCCAATAAAGGTCATCCATTTTTATTAGTGCGTTACAGATATTGTAAATGGTAAAAATTAGGTATGCAATTTAAAATATGGAAGAGCACTTGGGAAATACTGCCCTTTTAAAAGTTTTATTTCACATCAGAATAGTATCAATTTCATATAGCCTGTGTATGAATTTATGTATAGGTAAACAGCAATAGGAACTGGCAGAAATCATAATCCATTTTATAACACGGAAAATAAAGAATGTCCTACAGATAACTCTTTTTAAAAGATAAACGTATGGTCTAGTAAAAGAGTAAGAGCTTACATCTTGCAACTGAGATTCTTTTTTCTTTGCTGATAAATTTAAGTGCTTCTCTAGAATGGAATAATATTTCTCGCTTTCCTTGTCAAACTTTTTCTTCCCATCCTGAAAAACAAAACATTACAAAATAAATAATTTAATAGAACTGCAAAGCCAACAAAAAGGAAAAGCTAAAATATTTCCTAAAAAGACTGGTTGTACAATTATGTTTGCTGATTCTACTGGTTTTAGAGCAATAGACTAATATATGAATTGGGAACTAAAAGTTATTTCATGTTATTCAGTGAGACATTAATTATATGCTTGTGTTCAATGGAATTATATGTTTAGGCACCTTTCTGAACAGAGACCTAAAATGGTTTAACTTCCACTTTCTACTTGCTCCATAAATGTGTGTGTCTCAGATCATTCCCACTTGCAAAAAACCTATGGGGGTGAGTTCTCATGGGGAAAATTCTTTGCAGCAGTTCCTTTGTGGAACTCTCATCTTATCTTTTCATTTAAATTGAGGTTTGCCTGACTTGTGTCCACAGTGCTGTGGGGGTTTTAAAATCCATATTAGAATATGACAAGGAGGAAGGAACAGCATATACAATTCTATAATAGATGTAAGGGGAGCTAATGCAGGCAACTCAGTTTTCCAGCAAAACCTTTGTATAGTTTTGAATTTTAAACACGTATTTCTTGGAGTGTTTCTCCACAATCCTATCTATCCTCTTTTGAAAGATTTCCTCATGTGGAATCAGGTATCTCACATTCCCATCAGCCAAGTACTTTCATGTATAACAAATAATCCAGAAGGGAAATTATTGATTATAAACAATGCAGTTTGAGCTACACTCTTCTACTTTTTAAAAAAAATCTGATGCTTATGTGCTGTAAATGTAAGAAAAAGACATCTCTCTCTGTGTTGGGATCTCTCCCATCATTCTAGAAGAGACAGCACTGGGAAGGAAGGGAAAAAAGGGGAAATCACTAAGTAGCCACAGCATATTAAGGATTAAAAAGCTCTTGTTACCGCATTGTATTATTGCAATAAAGTGTCTATCCTGTGGTTGGCTGTGGTTCCCAACAATGTGTTTTATAAGCCCTGCAAAATTCCCTATAATGACTAACAAATTGAGTATTTTGAGAAAACAAAGGAAGGCTAACAGGACTGGTCTGTTGAGCACATATGCAAAAGCTATTAATGGTGGGAAACCAATCACTAGATATTATGGAATAACATTAGGTCATGAGCGGGGCTCAATGATCCTTTCCTTGTGCTCCTGTTCTCTCTCTACAAATTAATGGTTTATATTAAACAAGTTACTGTAGTACATTTTAAACAGAGGATTTGAAAATTCTCCCCAATTTATTTTTTGTCATTATTCCATGAGAAAGTCATATCAACAGTCAAACAAATAAGAAATAGCAGGGAGAGGTTAACACCATACACAATGAGCTACAACAGCTAATTATTTCTAGCAACACTAATTTCACAATGACAATCATACCAAAATGGAAAAAGAAAACAAAATTTCAACTATGTGGAAGGTTCATATGGCACATAGATTATTAATTATTATTATTATAAGCATATTTCTAATAGCACTAGTCCACATCAGAAGGGTGTAAATTCTAGAGCACACTAGCATGTTGTGCATTAAAAATTGCCTATTGATCATAATGTAGTCCAGTTTTATACAGTATTGCACTAATAGGCATGAGGGAACTTTTAGTGCATGCTCGCAGGGTCCATGTGGGCCTCTTATTGAGCAACACATTCTAGGATGTAGTAGAATATACCCTCTTCTAGTGCAGACTGAGGTATACAAGACCTAAGATGTTCATCATCATAACCAAAAAATCTGGACTTAAAAAGCAATTGACTATCCCTGTGTTAAATGATCAGATCTGAAATCCAAAACATCTAAACCGGGGTGGGCAAATTATAGCTCACAGGCTGGATTCAGCCTACCAAACTGCTGGATCCATTTTTCATGGCTGTGAATTTAGTAGGATCCTTATTCATTCCCCATATCCTACATCAAACACTTACATTTTGTTCTGCAAATTACAAAAAAAAAAATCACTTTATGAACTTTTCAGTTTAGATGTAGAAGTACATAAAGTGAGTATTTTTTTTTTAAATTTGGAGAACAAAATGTAAGTTTTTGATGTAGGATATGGGGAATGGGTAGGATCCTACTAAATTCACAGCCATGAAAAATTGATCAGATTTATCTACTCTACTGCCACTATTCCTAGCCCCTTTAGAAAATGCAGGAAACTGACCTGTTGGGTGTATTGTAATGATCCACCCTACCTGAAAATTGATTCTTTAAACACCTCTTAGTTTAAAAGAGAGACCTAACAACTGGAACTCCCTGTTACCAGGGTAACTTCTGATCTGACTGCAGCCTTCATGGAGATGTCTCATCAATCAGCTTTTTATTTTGTTTCACAGTTTAGAGCTCGACAATTTCTCACTCTAAAGACAAGCAAGAAAAAGACAGCAAAACAAAGTCGACTGAGAAGAAAGGCAATCACTCAGACATTTCAGCTGTATTTGTATCTTTATTTTAACTCAGACTTTGATGGTGGTTCTGGGAAGAAGACTACTGTGTCAGTAAACCAGTTTCCGGCACTGTAAAAATCACTCTCAGAAGTGCTCCTGGGAATAGTTTAAAAAGTATTTGGCTGCTTACACCCGCAGATCAGTAAGTACCCGTCTATTCAAAAGTTCCTCTGATACTGCCAGCAAAAACACATATTTGACTTCAATGAAACCCCCAAATCTGTTTACTTAATGAGAAGGAGAAAAAAAGACGTACTCAGCAGCAGGTGATTCATTTTCTGGAAAACACAAGACACATCTGGGAATGCCAAGTAATACTCACCTCTCAAACATAGCGACTCAGTGTATAAGAGCATCCTACAGGGAGAGTTTTCTTTCACTCCAATGCAGGCCACCTTTCCTTCTGTAATCTCCAAAGTCCTATTTTGTATAAAGGGGCTGCATACTCTCAATCAGTCACAAAAGGATTATAAGGAAAATTTTAGATACAAAAATCACTCTCTCTAGAGAGTTTAGGAGACAGAGGGTTAGCTCTCTCTCTAATTGGAGTCTGTATCTGGTTCAAAATACAGGAGATGTGAGATTTTTCATGGAGACAAATCTCAGGTCTGGTATTGTTGTCAGGTCACTCAGTGAGACAGTTACACAAGAAGAAACAGAAAATAGATTGTATGCTGACACTGATACTCTGTATTCAGGACACAAACAAGTTTGAGAATGGAAAAATATGTTCATAAAGCCATTTGCCCAAAATATCAGATACAAGCACAACAGCTATACACAGGAGTTATCAGCTTTATATCTGGAACAAAAATAACACCTATGTTCAGTTCTCACAGACACCCCCTGACAAAGCTGGTTTAACAATTCTGTGCCTCAGCTCATCACCTGTAAAATGGAGATAACATTGTTCTACTTCACATGTGTGTTCCGAGTTTAAATCCAATCATTCCTGTGAAGTTCTGATATATTATGATGACAAGGGGTGGGCCACATAAGTACTGACAGTTATGAGGAAAACATTGTTGATTTTTAGATTGATATTATTAGGCTTTAGTGTTAATACCACATTGGGCCACATAGCGGTTACCTCACTCTTGTAAGCTCCTATTTTACAAGCTCAGGAAAGGAACTCTGCACATTCATATTTTTTTCTTTATACAACAACATAGGGTATTAACAGAGGGCACCAACACAGTTAGTCTTAATGGCCCTGTATAAATATAAAAACTCATGTTCTCACCTAATATTTTACTCCAGCAATTGGACACGTGGTTTTGTTGTCTGACCTTTCCTTTGAGAAGTGGGCCAAGCGGTTCTTCATTTCCTAACTTTGATGGAAAAACTGAAGAAATCTAACTTCTTGTTTCTTCAGTTGATAAGCTGAGGTCATACAATACAGAATGGACTCCAGCTTGCTCTCCCACACCTGTACTGAATTTTGGAATACAAAAGCTTGTGCTAGTAACAAACCCACGTGTCTTGAATAGAGAGCTGATAGCAGATTGAGAGCTGTCTGCACTCCATTGTTACAGTGGCACAAGCAGTTGCATCTGTACCATTGTAGTGCTTCATTGTAGACACCATAGCTGTGTCCACACTGTGGAGCTATTTCGGGATATGGGAAGCATCCCAAAATAGCTATTCTGCGTCTTTAAAGCACCCCGTTATTTCAAAATAGATTTTGAAATAACAGGTGTGCTATTCTGACATCCCTGTAGCCCTCGCTTCATGAGAGTTAAGGGACATTTCAGAATAGTGCTTTATTACAAAATTTGGCACTGGCAGAAAGCACCACATTTATAAATAAGCTATTTTGAAGTAAGGGTGCAGTGTAGATCCACTCTATGTGTGGACTTCTCCCATCTGCATTAGAATGAACTTCTCTGAATGGTAGTAGCTAGATCGATGGAAGGATTCTTCTGTCAAGCCTGCACTGTCCATACTGGGGATTTGGCTGGCTTATCTGCATCTTTCATGGATGTGGATTTTTCACACCCCAATTAAGCCAACTTAATTGTCTAATATAAACCAGGCCTAGCTAATAAGATGTTATTTCTACTAGACACTTTTCTGACCATAACTGTACTAACATTTTTTCTTAAATGGAATTAAACATTGGGATTTTGACAGAATTCACATGTTTAAATATTTAATCTATCTATCAATCTATCTACCTTACCCAGTCACAATAATATCCAGGTTTTTTAATTATTTTTTTCCTATAACACCTCTTTGAAGAAGACAACTATTATTGTATCCATTGAAGCCTGTTACTTCAATGTAAAAGATTAATGATTTTGTGAGGCCTGAGATGTCAAAAGTCAGAAGACTTACTTTTCTTAAATAAAACAATTTAAAAAATGATGATGGGTAAAAGAATGGAAGGATTTAAACAGGGGATGCAAGCACAAGTAAAAAATCCAATAAGTGTGAAGCTTTAAGTAAATTGCACAATGCTTTCAACAGACCAGATCACTAATCACATGGTTGAGCTGACTCATAGTAAAATAAAAAGACTTTTTTCACATTTTACCAGCACTTA